ACAAGATTGGAAGTTTAATGAATGAGCCAAAGATCTAAGTGAAGGAGTTAAAGAAAATTCATCCCAAATAAGTAGGAGGAAGGCAAACAAAGAAATTATAAGCAAAAATTAGTGAAATAGAATGCAAAAAAAAAGATAAAAAGATCAATATTTTTTAAGATTACTACAGATAAAATGTCACAATATTCTAGTATCTAAATTTTATATTCTGAAATTCTAGAATTTTTTCTGTACCTTATTTCCTACTTCCTTTCCTTTATCTGCATACTCTTTGGAACGATTAATACTGTCTTCCTTTCTCTTAAGTCTCAGAGCCATCTCTTAATTAAATTACTGTTGATAAAATACTTCGAAGATTTTGCTCATTTATTAAGTTTTTGATCTAGAGAGTCTACTCAAACTATTGCCTTGTCTGATATTTTTCTCCTGGTAGGCATTATTAGAAATTAGCTATATTGTATAAAAATTAAATAATCTTCATTTCAAAAAATTTAGGGGATACAAGTGTTTTTTGTTATATGAATGAATTGTATCATGCTGAAGTTAGGGCTTTCACTGTACCCATTACAGGCATAGTGTACGTTGTACCTGATAGGTAGATTTTTATCCCTCTTTCCCTTGCCACCCTACCTTCTTCTTAGTTTCCAGTGTCCATTGTACCTCTTGATAACCATATATACCTCTCATTTAGCTCCCACTTATAAATGAGAACATGTGATATTTGTTTTTCCATTCCTGAAATACTTCACTTAGGATAATGGTCTCCAGTTCCACCCAAGTTGCTGTCAAAGACATTGTTTTGTTCCTTTTTATGGCTGAGTAGTACTCCATCGCGCATGCACGGGGTGTGTGTGTGTAAACAGACACAAACATTTTCTTTATGAACTCATCGGTTGATTGACATTTCAGCTGGTTCCATATGTTTCAATTGTGAATTATGCTGCAATAAACATTCTAGTACAGGTGTCTTTTTGATATAACATAATGACTTATTTTCCTTCGGAATGATACCCAGTAGTGGAATTGCTGGATCAAATGGTAGGTCACTTTCAGTTCTTTGAGGAATCTCCATACTGCTTTTTATGGCAGTTGTAGCTTACATTCCACCAATGCTATATAATCATTCCCTTTTCACTGCAGCTGTGACAACATCCATGATTTTTAGTGATGGCCATTCTGACAGTGGTAAGGTGGTATCTCATTAATTTGCATTTCCCTGATAATTAGTGATGAGCATTTTTTCATATGTTTGTTGGCCTTTTATCTATCTTCTTTTGAGAAAAATCTGTCCATGTGTTTTGCCAACTTTTTGATAGGGTTATTGTATTTTTCCTGATTTGTTTGAGTTCTTTATAGATTCTGGATATGAATCAGTCTTTTGTTGGATGTATAGTTTGTAAATTTTTTCTCCCATTCTGTAGGTTGTCTGTTTACTCTGTTACTCCCTTTGCTGTGCAGAAACTTTTAGGTTTAAGTCCCATTTATTTATTTTTGTTATTGCTGTATTTGCTTTTAAGGTCTTACTCATAAAATATTTTCCTAGGCTAATGTATAAAAGAGGTTTTTTTCCTGTGTTTTCTTCTAGAATTTTTATAGTGTTAGGTCTTACATTTAAGTCTTTAATGAATTATGAGTTAATTTTTGTATATTGTGTGAGAGAGGAATCCAATTTCTTTCTTCTGCCTGTGGCTATCCAATTTTCCTAGCACCATAATAGGGTATCCTTTCCTCCAGTGTATGTTTTTGTCTGCTTTGTTGAAGATCAGATAGTTGTAGCTATATGGTTTTATTTCTGGGTTCCCTATTCCATTGGTCTATGTGTCTACCTTTATACTAATACAGTACTGTTTTTGTTACTACAGCCTTTTAGTATATCTGAAGTCAGGTAATGTGATGCCTCCAGATTTGTTCTTTTTGCTTCGGATTGCTTTGGCTATTCGGGGCTTTTTTGGTTTCATAGGGAGTTGAGGATTATTTTTTTTAGATCCATGAAAAATGACATTGCAATTTTGATGGGAAATGCATTCAAACTGTAAATCACTTTGAGCAGTATGGACATTTTAACAATGTTTGGCTATTACTTTTGGAGGACTGCGTGACAGGCACTGGTATGCACTCTGTATGTTAGTTCATTTAATCATTGAAGCAACTCCTTTAGACACTATTTAGACCATTTTCAGAAGTGTGGTCTATTGGTGGTGCTACATGCCTGTAATCCTAGCACTCTGGGAGGCCAAGGCGGGCATATTGCTCGAGGTCAGGGGTTCAAAACCAGCCTGAGCAAGAGCGAGACCCCATCTCTACTATAAATAGAAAGAAATTAATTGGTCAGCTAATATATACAGAAAAAATTAGCCAGGCATGGTGGTGCATGCCTGTAGTCCCAGCTACTTGGGAGACTGAGGCAGCAGGATTGCTTTAGCCCAGGAGATTGAGGTTGCTGTGAGCTAGGCTGATGCCACAGCACTCACTCTAGCCTGGGCAACAAAGTGAGACTCTGTCTCAAAAAAAAAAAAATAAAAATGAAGTGTGGTCTACAACGTAACCTGCCCCAAGTTACATAGCCTGTAATTGGCAGAGCTGGAATTTCATTCCAAGTATGTCTGACTACAGTGATATACTTCCAACTGTTCTTCCGTATTGCCTTCTTCCAGTATACTATTCATGATGGTATAAAATTATATTAAGTTTCTATAAAATGGTGGTTCTTAAAATGGGATACATGGAACCCTGGGATTCCTAAGACTTTTTCAAAGAGTCTACAGGGTGAAAACTTTTTTTTTTAATTCTAAGACTTGACTTGTTACTTATGCTATGTTGACCTTTGCTCTGATATTGCAGAAGCAATGTTGGGGAAAATTGCTGGTACATTATCATGAATCAAGCCAGTGGCAATAAACCATACCTAGTAGTTCTTGTGTTCTTCACCACACACATTCTAAAAAAAAAAAATTCCATTTAAGAATGTACTTAATAGGCCGGGCGCGGTGGCTCACGCCTGTAATCCTAGCTCTCTGGGAGGCTGAGGCGGGCGGATTGCTTGAGGTCAGGAGTTCAAAACCAGCCTGAGCAAGAGCGAGACCCCGTCTCTACTATAAATAGAAAGAAATTAATTGGCCAACTGATATGTATATAAAAAATTAGCCGGGCATGGTGGCGCATGCCTGTAGTCCCAGCTACTCGGGAGGCTGAGGCAGAAGGATCGCTCAAGCCCAGGAGTTTGAGGTTGCTGTGAGCTAGGCTGACGCCACGGCACTCACTCTAGCCTGGACAACAAAGCGAGACTCTGTCTCAAAAAAAAAAAAAAAAAAAAAAAAAAAAAGAATGTACTTAATAAAGGAAGAAAATTTTTTAATTTATTAAATTTTAACTCTTGTTTTAGACATTAAAAAAATATTCTGTGCAATAAAATGCAAAGTGCTTATAAAATACTTCTACTGAATACTGAGATACGCTGGTTGTCTTGAGGAAAAAGCACTTGTCTGATTTTTTTTTCAAGTTGTGAACTGGACTTGCCATCTTTTTTATAATATCATTTTTACTGGAAAGAATGACTGACAGACAAGCTGTTATTATTCAGGCTTGAATAATAGTTAACTGAATAGCAATTGTTTTTTCAAAAATTAATGAAGTCAGCTTGTGTCTACAAGAAAAAACACCGATTGTATATGTTGCCAGTGATAAATTTCAAATTTTCAAGTAGAAATTAGAATTTTGGAAGACTTGTCTTGCCACCATGATGAACTTTACAGCTTTCCAATACATAAAGACTTTTTCTGATAAGATTGTTGGTGAATTTAATGGATGTAATTTTTATATGCTATTATATAATGAAATGTGTTAACATTAGGAAGATCTGTATATCACATAACATTTTCCAAAAGATCAATGCATCAATGTTAGAAAATCATGCATTGGTAAAAGATCCATTCAAATTACATGATAGAACAAAGGATTTTAGTGTAACAGTATGAAATCTTCATTGATACAGTTTCAAATTCCACACTGCAACTAATATTTAAGAAACTACCATTCATCACATTCTGGTGACATATTAAGATCAAACAATAGCCATACATACCTAAAATGCCCATTACAAGTATACCTCTTATTTCCAACCACAATCTTCGAGACAAAGATTTTCATTGTATACATCAACCAAAACAAAATATCTAATAGACTGAATGTATAAGTAGACATGAAAGTCTTCCATTAAGCCAGACATTAAAGAAATCTGCGAAGTTATTAAGCAATATCACCTTTCTTGCTAAATTCTTTTTTGGGGGAGAAAATATTGCTACTTTCAGAAAATTATATATGATAACATAATAGGCTTATTATTTTCAAGTGAATATATAATTTTTTTCAAGTTCTCAGTTTTTATTTTAAATGTAGAAAAAACCCACATAAACAGATGTTCTTTGGTGTCCTCAGTTTTAAAAAGTATAATTAAATCTCTCCATAATCTGCTCTTCCTGCAGACAAAATATGAATTAATAAAGAGAGAAAATAAATCATATATAGTACATTTCTATAGCATAATTAGAAAAACAGAATATTATATCAAGTTAGTCAGGAAATAAATACCTACATTCAACAGCTCTAGAAAGTTAGCTCTGAAAAGTGTGTTGGAAATGGTGCAGAATAGATGAGAAGGTAGTTAACACACAGATGTAGTATAACACATTGAATTAGTGCCCAGGGAAAACATGTTCCACATTGAATGGGGAAATAATGAAGTCTGGGTAGATACTAAGGGATTAAAAAGGAAGTATCTTGAAAGAGCACATGACTAGAGGTAGCAATCTTGGCAAGGTACCACTTCTCAGAGAGACAGGGTGACTTGGAAGGGATGTTGCTTGTAATCTTATTAATAAATAGAAGGTAGAAATTAAGGGTCCTATAGAAACAAAAGAAAATCACAAAAGTGGAAGTGCATCGACCATTCCATTCACTCTGCCATTAAAAGCGCACCATTAATTAAAGAAACTATACTATACCAGCACAGGAGGGTCCTCTCATCCAGATCCTTTTTGTATATAGCAGTTTTGGGTTTTTTTTTTTACATTAACAGTTACTGCTGGTCTGGAAATATAAAGTAATTCAAAATGAATAAAACATGGGACAGATGAAGAAAAAAAAAGTGACGATCATAACATTATCAACTTATGAAAATTCTCAGTAAAAACAAAACAAACAATCAGAAAAGCCAGCAAACAGAAGAATGCTAGATCATAATACTCTAAAGTGAATTATATAATCTTAAAAGAAGCATTTACAGGTATGATAAAATGCCTTATACAAAATTCAGACAATTAGAATAGAAATAGACAAAAAGGAAGATGGGAATTGAGAATTGACTAAAATCAGGAATAAAATTTTAGAAAAACAAATCATCTTAGGACTTAATTTTAGGGTACCCAAAGGAGAATATATTGGACTGAAAATGCAATAAGGGTCTTTGGAGAAGAGAATGAAAATGAAATAATGTGGTAAAAAGACAGATAAAGAAAATTATTGCTGTAGGCGATACACGCACACACATACTCAAATCCAACACGTGTAATTAGAGCCCTAAAGAAGAAAACTAAATAGTAGAGCACAATAAATATTAAAGCTATAATTTGAAAAAACTTTACAGTAATAAAATATTTGTAACTACATAGCACTCACGATAATTGACACAGAATAGTCCATTTTAACACATCCTGGTGGAATTACGATAATGTGAAAAAAATTCCTGTGAGTGTCAAGACAAAAAGACTAAGTCACAAAGGAGAATGAAAATCAAAATAATCACTCATACTTCTCAACAACATTTAAAGAAAGACAACCCCAGAGCAACATTTTCAAAGAAATTAAGGAAAGAATATGTGAGCCAAAGTTTTTGTATCAAGTTAAGTTGTATTTCAGGTATGACAATGGTCAAAAACATTATTAAACATTTAAGAACTCAGAAAATACCATATGTAAAGCCTTACTTGAATCGTCTATTGGTGCTCTAGTCAGCACACTTTTTCTGCAAAGGGCCAGATAGTAAATATTGTGCATTTTGCCAGCAATATAGTTTCTGTTGTAGCTTGTCATGTCTGCCATTGTAGCACAAAAACAGCTAGTACCTTAATGAATGAGTGTGAATGTGTTTTAATAAAACTTTATATACAAAAAGTGATGGTGGGCCACGTTTGCCCCACTGTTTGTTGGCCCTAGTACTGTAGGGCAGATTTCATACAATTAATAAATGACAAAAGGAGTGATTTTGAGTATTGGCTGTATTAAATCTAAGGATAGAGCAAAGAGAGAAGGCTGGGGAAATGGAGGAAGGGAGTTTATTGAATGCCACATAGATATTATGTAGGCATCAAAGGTATCATTGGAAGGCTGAATACCAAATAGCTTAACTAAGGAAAGGGGGAACTAAAGGCATCATAAGAAATGGTAGGCAAAACTGATAATACATAGAAAGACAAATGATCCTAAGTATTAAAAAATTTTACAAGCAAAGAAAATAGAGCACACGGAGAAAGAAAAAAAATATTTTTACAATAATATATCACTCATTGTAGGAAATGTAAAAAGATTGAACTCACCTATTAAAAAGATGTCCAGAGTAATTCATAAAACAAGACCCACATTTAAGTTGTGTATGCATATGAGACACATCTAATAGAAAATTATTAAAAAAAAGACCAAAAGTATAAAAGAGTGAGCAAAAATACAGAAGGCAAGTGAAAACAGTAAGAAAGCCAAGATTGTTGTAATCCTCATGTCAGCTAGGGTGGAATTAAATAATTTTTAACCAGGTAAAATAAATAAATAAAAATAAAGAAGGCTACTTTAGAATGTTAAAGACCATAAATCATAAAGTAGATATAACATTTATTATTATAGTATCTATGTGCTAGATAACATAACGACCACCTTCATAAACAGAAACTACAGAGAATTCAGAAGGGCAAACACAGAATTAAAATCCTCACTTTTAGGCCAAGATAAGTGAATCTAAAACAAGGATATAAAAGATGTAAAAGCACACTAAGAGATATTTTATGAATATATATAGAATTCTATTCCCAAATAATGTACAATCTACTTTCTTCTCATGAAATATTCACGAAGAAGTTTTATATATTAAGTCAAATACTTTATAAAATCCTAAGTTTCATAAAGTAAAAACAATACACAAAAACATTTGTTCAGCATAATGTAATACGGATGAGCATAATTGACAAAAAAATTTTTAAAGTCCTATCCATCTGCAATGAAATACTCTTATAAACAGCTTTAGGGAGAAAGGAGAGAAAGCAAAGTTGTAGTATTTCTTAAAAATACTGATAATTAAAAAACTACATATAAGAATCTAGGGGATATAATGAAAACAGTGACTAGAAAAAGATTCACAGTCTTAATGAATTTATATCAGTAAATTAAAGAATGAATTACATTCTTATCAAAAAAAAGCTAGGAAAAACACAACAAAGTAAATCAGAATAAAGAACAAGGAAGAAAATAATAAAGATATTAATAAAAGCAAAACTTAATGCAGAAGAAAACAAAAAAACAATAGGACTAAAAAGGAAATAGGAAAAAAATGCCGGTTGTTTGAAAAAGTTAACAAAATAGACAAACCAATAGTTAACCTAATTAGTGAAGGGAGAGATGGGTGGAGGAGAGAGGGTAGCAGAGAGGGAGAAAACATAAATATACAAAACATGACAACAGGGGAATATTGAAACAGAATTTTAAAAGTCATAAGATTCTGTTTTGCACAACTTACATGAAATGGATATTTCCTTAGAAAATCCACTTTGTGAAAATTATTCCAAAAGAGATAAAAAGCCTAGACCATTTTCTTCAGAAGAAATAGAAAAAGTATCAAAAAAATTCAACAAAAGCTCCAAGCCCAGGTTTCAAAGGAATATTTTAGTCAAACTTCTAAGATCAGATAATCTCAGTGCTCCATAATGTTTTCCAGAACATAGAAAAACAAAAGTTTCCAAATCATTTTTGAGTGTGGCATTAATTTAGATAAAAATCTTGGCTAAGTGTGGCGGCTCATTCCTGTAATCCCACCACTTTGGTAAGCTGAAGCCAGAGGACTACTTGAGGCCAGGAGTTTGTGACCTGAGCCACGTAGAGATACTGTATCTCTACAAAAAAAATAAAAATAAAAAAATAACTGGTTGTTGTGTTGTGCACCTGTAGTCCTAGCTACTCAGGAGTGCTTAGGCAGGAGGATCACTTGAGTGCAGAAGTTACAGTGAGCTATGATTGCACCACTGCACTCCAGCCTGTGTCACAGAGTGAGATCCTATCTCTTAAAAAAAAGTAGGCTGGGGCACTGTGGCTGGCACCTATGATCCTAGCACTCTGGAAGGCTGGACAGGTGGATCCTTTGAGCTCAGGAGTTTGAGACCAGCCTGAGCAAGAGTGAGACCCTGTCGCTACTAAAAATAGAAAGAAAAATTATTGCAACTAAAAATATAGAAAAAATTAGCTGGTATGGTGGCACATGCCTGTAGTCCCAGCTGCTCAGGAGGCTGAGGCAGGAATATTGCTTAAGCCCAGGAGTTTGAGGTTCCTGTGAGCTAGGCTGATGCCACGGCACTCTAGCCTGGGCAACAGAGTCAGACTCTGTCTCAAAAAAAAAGTTTATAAAGATAGTCACACACACAGCTACTAGAATGGTCACGTATAATACAAAAATATCAAACAAATTCTACACAATTAACAAATGATCAATCACAGTCAGGAGTTGTTATTCTAGTTATGCAAAAATGGTTCAATTTAGGAAATCCTGTAATTATTTCATCTATTAATCTAAGTGAGGAAGAAAAAATGATAGACAGTCATCTGATGCTGACAGACCTTTAGACACCAATTCAATATTATCGTCCTGATAAAGAATACTCAATAGAACAGGAATTGATGCGGTTCGGTTAACGTAATAAACACATGATCCTAGGTTTAAGTCAAACATACTATTAATGTGGAAACACTAAGCAGCATTCTCAGCTAAATGGGAAGCAAGACGATTATTGGTCCTCTGTCTCCACTAATTTACATTGTCTTGGCAGTTTGAGCTTGTTGCAATTAGACAAGAGAAAACTGTGTTGTAGAGACATAAAGTTGAAGAGGAAGAAATAGACTAGTTTCTATTTTGCAAGAGATAATGAAAAACGGAATAATAATAAAACGAACTCAAATAATAAAGATTCAGTGCAGTAGCGGGATATCAAATGACAATTCAGAGATTCTCGCCATAACTCAGATGTTTACTGCCATTTACAACAGCAGTAAAAAGAACAACTTGAATAAACATAAAGAAATTCAGTTTCCCAAAATTAATATAAAATTTAATATCCCTTTAGAAATACAAGTCCCTCCCTCAGGAGCGGCATATGACAAAAAATATGCAGAGTAGATTTTTTTTTGTTCTTTTTTTTTAGCAAAAATAGTTTTAGTGTAGGATTGGATTACCTGTAGGCAGTAGGGAGAGTGTACTGAGACGGGGATGCTGAGGTGGTTAGGATGTTTTTATTCTTAGTCCATATCAGTTTCCCACCATGGGTAGTAGGTTTTCACTTTGAAGAATTGATGGCAGTGAGAACTTGGAATTTTTTCCTTTCGTTGGTATGTGTTATACATTGAATATAAGAGCTTATTTAGGCCGGCGTGGTGGCTCACGCCTATAATCAGCACTTTGGGAGGCAGAGGCGGGCGGATTGCTCAAGTCAGGAGTTCGAAACAGCCAGAGCGAGACCCCGTGTCTCACCCAATAGAAATAATTATTGACCAACTAAAAATAATATACAAAAATTGCTGGCATGGTGGCGGCATGGCCTGTGTCCCAGACTACTCGGAGAGCTGAGGCAGATAGGATTCGCTGAGGCCCGGAGATTTGAGGTTTGCTGTGAGCCAGGCTCGACGCCACGGCACTCATCTACCTGCACAATAGCTCGTGTCTCAAAAAAAAAAAAGAAGCTTATTTTAAAAAACAAAAAAATTTTTTAAAAAGCTGATACAGGCTAATCAAGATAATATTAAACCTCTATAATTAAAACTATGTTTCTGGTACCTGAATTGACAGGCAAACTCAAGGAGAAATAATAAACAGGGAAATTTGTATATGATGTGGGTGGCATTTTAGATTACTGGAGAAATGATAGACTATTTAATAAATTGCTTTAAGAAAACTGGAAAACCAGTTGGAGAAAGATAAAATTAGATCTACCCCTCATATGTACACCAGAATAAATTTCAATTAGATAAAAGATTTAAATATAAAGTAATGTAACCATGTAAGTACTAAAACAAAATGTTGGTGAATTCTTTTGTAACTTGGATGTAGGGCAAAGGCTTTCTATGATTTAAAATATTAACTACATTTAAAAGATTAATTTACATTAAACATAGAAAAAAAAATAATATGTCTAGCAATAAAGCCCAGGAATCAAAATTGAAAGACATCTGAAAAACTGTGAGAAAATACTTGCAATTTATATTACAGGTAGAGTTAACCTTTGTATTACATAAGGAACTTTTAAAAATTAAGAGGGGAATAAAAGACAAAACATTCAATAGGAAAGTGGACAAAAGGCACAAGCAGAGTGTTACACACAGAAAATAAGATATTCACTTGGCCCCTTATATTTATAAAAGAATTACTAATTTTTGCTGATGGTACCATTTTTCTTCTATTAGACTGGCAAAAATTCAATAGCCTGATGACACTCTGTTAGGAAACCTGAGAGAAAACAGTTACTTCCATTCATTGCTGTTGGAAGTACAAAATAGTAAGTACACTCCCTACAAAAAGATATTAGGCAATGTCATAGTCTGTTCTGTGCTGCTACAACATAATACCTGAGACTGGGTAATATATAAAGAACAGAAATTTATTTCTTGCAGTTCTGGAGGCTGGGAAGTCCAGAATCAGGATACCAGATTTGGTGTCTAGTGAGGGCCTGTTGTCTGCTTTTAAGATGGAGCCTTGAACATTGCATCCTCCAGAAAGTAGGAATGCTCTGTCTTTATATGGCAGAGATGGAAGGGAGAGAGAAGGGCCAAATTCCCTCTGTCATGCCTTTTTATAAAGGCATTAATCCATTCATGAGGGCAGATCCCTCATGACCTAAACACCTTCCCAAAGGCCGCACCTCTTAAACTGTTGTGTTGAGGATTAAGTTTCCAGCACATAAATTTTGGGGGACACATTCAGGCAACAGCAGACAGTATGTATTAAAATTGCATATGTATTTACCCTTTGACCCAATAATCCCACTTTTTAAAATTTATCTGAAGGTATTTGGTTAACAACATAAAAATAGATAGGCATAAAATTACTGATTGCCACATTATTTATAAAAGCAAAATATCAGAAATTAAATATATACCCATCCATGGAGACAGGCTGCCTAGTCTGTGGTAGAAATATATGACAGATTACCATGGAGCTACAAAATAGAATAAAGAACATCTCTATGAACTGAAAAGAATGATTGCTTAGATATGTATTAAGTGAAAAAAGGCAAAAGTCAAAAAAGGTATGTATAGTATGTTAACTTTTAAGAAAGGAGAAATAAGAATACATAAGTCTGTTTACTTATTTTTACTCAAAAGGATAAACTAGAATCTAATGAAATTGATTACTTTGGGAGTGAAAAGATGGTATAGGATAAGTTTTGACTTTTGAGATGAGTTAATTCTGTATGTTTTTAAAAAATTAAATCAATAAGAATGGCGAGAGAACCCTGTGATAGCATACAAAAAAACGAATGAACCTAACTGTATATCATATTAATAATATAGTACACAGGAAAAATTAATTCAAATAATTAACAATACTTTCTGCTCTCAATGAAGTTTATTCTAAGGATAAACATTTTGAACGTTTTTTAGTAGATTGGGCATCAGTAGTACTCTTGGTATAGTAATTCTGGTAGAGTGCCTACTGTGGGAGAAGGAAATAAAAATATGGAAAGGGGAAAGGAAAGGAAGAGCCTGTGGTATTAGATTGGTATTGGAGGTATTAATAAGAACTTGTGCTTTCATGTATTTGCAAACACACATACACATAATGTATTAGCTTAACTACTGTAATATCTTAGACACCATAGCAGTGACATGACTTAGCAGTGACCACACTTAGCATCAAGCCCTCAGTGCAGACCAGGTGCAGTGGCTACACCTGTCTTAAATGATTTTAAGAGCAGTTATCACTCTTGTTAGCTCAATAATGACATTAAATGCTGCCTGTCAGTATGGAAGGGTACCAGACAAGGGCATGAATATAGAGATGTGGGAATCAATTGATTTAATGTCTCCCATAGGTAGAATACACTTACCCTTGCCCAAGACCTCCAAAAGTCTTACCTTCTCAAAGGCCACACACTCTTGTTATCTAATTCGGTTCAAGGTGCAAATGAAGTTACTTGGGTGTAGTTCCTTAAGTATAGCACTTCAGTTACAGTTGCTCTTGATCTGTAGACCTATGAAACTAAAAAGACAAATTATCTACCCACACATGGCCTTTTGGGACAGGTATAGGATAACTACTATAAACACTCCTGTTCAAAAATAGGAAATGGGCTGTGCAGTAGGATCACTGTTCTATAGTAATTCTGAAAATCCACCTTGGCTAATGTTGGATGTTCTTTGATTAGGTTTCAAGGCCTGGGAATAATTCTCTGTGGTTCTTGGCTCTACGTTCTGGGCTCGATGTTCCACCCTTTGAATTATCCTTCCTTCCTTTTCTTAAAAACTGAAATGTAATTCACATACTATAAAATTTATTCTTTTACAGTGTGCAGTTCAGTGGTTTTTAATATAGTCACAAAGTTTTGCAACCATCTATACTAACTGATTCTAGAATATTTCACCACACTAAAAAAGAAACTTCATAACCATTAGCAGATTAGCAGTCATTCCTCATTTTTCTCCTACCCTTCCTCAGGCTCTGCCAACCACTAAACTACTTTTTCTCTATATAGATTTACTTATTCAAGGCAGTTCATTTCCTATAAAAGGGATTCTACAATGGGCATCCTTCATATAGCATAATGTTTTTGACGTTCATCCGTGTTGTAGCATACAGTGGTTCTTATTTGTTTTTATGACTGAATAAATACTCTGTTGTGTGGATATACCTCATTTTATTTATACATTCACCAGTTGATGAACATTTGGGTTGTTTCTACTTTGGGCTGTTATGAATAATGCTCTGTGAATATTTAAGTACACATTTTTGTGTGGACATGTGTTTTCTGTTAACTTGGGTATAACCTACCTAGGAGTTGAATTTACTGGCCCATATGATAATTCTTTCTTTCGTTTGTTCCTTATTTTGGAGAAGGGGACTTGCTATATCACTCCAGCTATACTCAAACTCCTGGACTTAGTCAATCCTTCTGTCTCAACCTTCTGAGTAGCTGGGACTACAGGCTTACACCACTGCACCCAGCTTTTATTTACTATTTTGAGGAACTGCTGATCTGTTTTCCAAAGCAACTAGACTGTTTTGCATTCCCACGAGCATTGTATGAGGCATCCAGTTTTTTCACATCCTCCATAATACATGCTATTATCTGCATTTTTTATTAGTGGCAATCCTGCTGGGTATGAAATGGTATCTCACTGTGGTTTTGATTTTCATTTTCCTAATGACTAATGATGTTTGTAAGCATTTTCTCATATACTTATAAGCCATTAGTAATATCTTCTTTGGAGAAATGTCTACTGAAATCATTTGCCCATTTTTTGTTTGGCATTTGTGTTTTTATTGTTGTTGTAAGAGTTCTTCATATGTGGTGGAATTAGATCCTTACAAGATGTATTATTTATAAATATTTTTTCTCATTCTGTGGACTGTCTTTTCACTTCTTGACAGTGTTCTTTTAAGCAAAAAAATTTTAATTTTGATGTTCAGTTTATCCATTTTTGTTCTTATTGTTTGTACTTTTAGTGTCAAATTTGAGAAATCATGGCCTAAACCAAGGTCATGAAAATTTATTTATACGTATGTCTTCTTCTAAAAGTTGTATAGTTTTATCTCCTATATTTATCTTTGATCCACATTGAGTTAATTTTTGTTTATAGTAGAGGTTTTTGTTTATGTTTGTGATAGGGGCCCATCTTCATTATTTTGCATGTAAATATCCCCTTGTCCCAACACCATTTATTGAAAAGACTGACTCCTCTATTCTCCTTTGAATTGTTTAGGTACTCATAAAAAATAAACTTACTGTATATGTGTGGGTTTATTTTGGGATTCATTTCTTTCCCATTGATCTATATGTCTATCCTTATCCAGTAACACCTAGTCTTGACTATTGTACTATGTGGTAAATTTTAAAATTATAAAGTGATAATCTTCTGATTTAGTTTTTCTTTGTCAGGATTTTTTTTTTTTTTTCCTATTCTGGGTCCCTTGCATTTTCACATGAAATTTAGGATCAGTTTGCCAATTTCTACAAAAATTCCAGCTGAGATTTAGATAGGCATGGTGTTGATTCTTTTGATCAAATTTAAGGAGTGTTACTGTCTTAATAATATTGTTTTTCAGTTTATAAACACAGAACATATTCCTTTTTTTTTAAGTATTCATGGTTTTTTAAAGTATTCATTATGTTTGTAATTTTCAATGTACGACTCTTCTACTTTTTTTTTTTTTCTTTTTTTTTTTTTTTATTCTCCCAGTATCACAAGAGACTCTTCTACTTTTTAAATTTTATTTTTATAAGTATTCTTTGTGATGCTGTTGTGTGATTGTTTTCTTAATTTCATTTTGTAATTTTTTGGTGCTAAATAAAATTCATTTTTGTATGTTGATTTGGTATCCTGTAACCTTGTGAACTTGATTATTACCTCTTAATATTATTTGTATGTACAGATTCTTTAGAAATTTATATGTACAACATTATATACAAATATATATATATACACACACACAAGATTGTATAACCTATAGAGAGAGTTTTACTTCTTTTTAATGTGGATGCTTTTATTTATTTTTCTTGTCTAATTGCCCTGACTAGAACACTCTTGTCTAATTGCCCTGACTAGAACACTCAGTACAGTATTGAATAGAAATGAGAAGATCGTCTATCTTTGTCTTGTTCCTGATTTTAGGGGGAAACCTTTCCATCTTTCACCATTAAGTATGATGTTATCTGAGGATTCTCTATAGATGTGCTTTATTAGATGGAGGACTTTTTTTGCATTTCTAGCTTGTTTGGTGTTTTTATCATGAAAAGATACTGTATTTTGTCAAGGGCTTTTTCTACATTTATGGAGATTATATATATGGCTTTTGTCCACTATTCTGTTAATATGTTGCATTACATTGATTGATTTTTATATGTTGAACTAACCTTGCATTTTTGGTCTAAATCCCTCTTGGTCTTGGTGTACAATTCTTTTTATGTGTTGCTAGATTCTGTTTGATAGAAATTTGTTGAGGACTTTTGTGTCTATACGACCAAACTTCATTTTATTATTCTTCACTTTATTGAGCTTTGCAGATACGGTGTTTTTTTTACAAACTAAAGGTTTGTGGCAACTCTGCATTGAGCAAATCTGTTGGTGCCATTTCCCCAATAGTATAATATGTGTTTATTTCATTTCTCTGTGTCACATTTTGGCAATTCTCATAATATTTCAGACTTTTTCAGTATTATTGTTATATCTGTTATAGTGATGTGTGATCAGTGATCTTTGATGTTACTATTGTAATTATTTTGGGATGTCATGAACCATGTCCATATAAGAAGATGACTTTAATAAATGTTGTGAGTATTCTGACTGCTCCACTCATCAGTTGTTCTATCTCTATTACTTTCCTTGGGCCTTCCTTTTCCCTGAGACAAAACAATATAGAAATTAGGCCAGTTAATAAACTTACAATGTCCTTCAGGTGTTCAAGTAAAAGGAAGAGTCACATGTCTCTCATTTTAAATCAAAAGCTAGAAATGATTAAGCTTAGTGAGGAAGGCACATCAAAAGTTGAGATAGGGTGAAAGCTAGGCTTATTGCACCAAACAGCCACGTTGTGAATGCAAAGGAAGAATTCTTGAAGGAAATTAAAAATGTTACTTCAGGCCGGGCGCTGTGGTTCACGCCTGTAATCCTAGCTCTTGGGAGGCCGAGGCGGGCGGATTGCTCAAGGTCAGGGGTTCAAAACCAGCCTGAGCAAGAGTGAGACCCTGTCGCTACTAAAAATAGAAAGAAATTAATTGGCCAACTAAAAATATATAGAAAAAATTAGCTGGGTATGGTGGCACATGCCTGTAGTCCCAGCTGCTCAGGAGGCTGAGGCAGGAATATTGCTTAAGCCCAGGAGTTTGAGGTTCCTGTGAGCTAGGCTGATGCCACGGCACTCTAGCCTGGGCAACAGAGTCAGACTCTGTCTCAAAAAAAAAGAATCTTATAAAGATAGTACACACACACAGCTATAGAATGGTCACACGTATATAATACAAAAATATCAAACAAAATTCTACACCAAATTAACAAAATGATCAATCACAGTCAAGTGAGATTTATTCTA